AACCAACAGAGATTCAAAAGCATTTTGATGTATTTGGGTGTAGCCCACTGTGCACAAAAGATTAGAATCAAACACATTGTAGACCCCAACCCCAAACCTGCTAAAATAGATTAGCTCTTGTAAGGATAATATAATTTGATTAAAGATTTCATTCATCCCAAACCTGACATTGTTTAGTATAACTGTACCCAACTGACCCTAAAAGTGCTAAAATACCATTTGCCTCTTGTTCACAGTTTAATACCTGAATTTGATTAAGATAGTACAAAATTCACTAACCAAAGCCACTGATAATGAGAGTATAATACCACAGAGAGATTTATTAGATTAAAATGTATGTTTAAGAATATGGCTCAATATAAGCAAATATGCAAACATATTTGTAAATAGATTAGAATAGTTTTAAACTATAGTGAATAGAGAGTAAAGTACACAGTCTAAGATTAGAATTAGTGAAAATAATACAGTGAAATAAGTGAAGTGTAAACAATTAGCATTAGAATAAAAGTATAGAGTAATTAAAGTGAAATATGCTTCTAATTTGAGACTCAGCTCGTTTTTGTCTGTGTTTTGACTGAATCTGCTGAGTTCTACTGTGTCCAATAGTGTGTTTGTTTGTTTTTATTTTTGATTTGTTTTTTGTTTGTTTATTTTTTCCCAGGATAGAGGATAAAATCCACTGATATTGATTGGATGATTATGAGTTTAATGCATACATTTTCTTTGTTTTTTAATAATTTTGTAAAGTTTTTTTTTTTTTTGATTTTTTTTTTCTTTTTCCACTTTATTGATTGATCGATTTGAGTGATCACATGTGATTATGTGATCAAAGGGGAGGGTGTTAGTATTAGATAGCAATATGGCCTACGTGCAGGACTCTACAAGGACTCTACAAGGACTCCATGTTATGACTATGATGTGACTGTCTCTTTGTGACACGTATGTCTTTCGATGTGTGACGTGACAATGACTATATAAACTGTGTACTGCCTTTATTCTGTCTGAGAGAAAGAAACAGAGTAAACCAGTGGAACTTGAGAGAAACTTAAATAAACTTCCAGAGTTTGGCACACCACGATCCGTCTCTGTCTGCTAAATCCTAACACACCCATGCTGATATTCGGTCTCAAAGCTCCCGTCTCGGTCTCTAGAAATAGTATGCATTATTTTTGGCCTTAAAAAAATTACTTATTTTAGAATGTGAAAGTAGAAATTAAGTGGAAAATCCATGGTAAAACCAGGATCAAAGAAAAAAATGCATTCTGCCTGTAAATCTCTATGCTTCCACCAGAGGGAGGGGTTGAAAACGCAACAGTTCTAATGGCATAAATTATCTGCTTGGCGGCAAAGATAAATTATTGCTGTTCTTTGAATGCTGCCCTCTACGGTTCAAAATGTGTACATTCTTATTTTATGGACGGTATTAGTTTTTTGAAAAATGTCTATCAACTACAGAAAATTCCAAACAAAACGACAATAGAACAATGCAACAACAAAGATTTTTAAATCCACTATTTTTAAAATTTCATGACATAAATCACTCCCGATCACAGTCCCACATGTTTTAACACGATGTATTAATATGTACTGTACTTAAGAAAGAAATGTGCATCAGCTTTCTTCTAAAACAACATGTCTGGAGAGGCAATGTTCTATAACTGGTATTTTGTTAAGGTTAATATTCTAAACCCATCAGGTTGTAGAGTCAACAGAAGCATATTAATAAATCTTTGCTATTAACCCTCTCCCTGCCATTGACAATAATCATCTCCATATGTGATTTGGACAAAAAGATTCCAAAGAGATTACTCATGGAAGGCTTGAATACAGACAAAATGGAAAATTGGTTGCAAAAGCATACATACTGTAAATGGATTTAAATACTAAATGTTAACATGTATTATCTGAATAAGGTAACACTAAATTTATTTTTATTTTTATTTCTTAACAAACAAACAATTATTTATTGTACAATAACAACTTATTTATGACCCACGTACATCCGGATTGTTGAGTGTGTCTCTCCACTTCCTGCTAAGTGCGTTCTAAAAAAACAACAACAAATAGAACGTAATCCCGTCTTTCAGCATGAGTTCTTTGTATTTTCTTTTGCTTTTGCTGCCAGCGCTCGCACAGCACAATCATTGCATTCATATCTGCCACTACAGTGAAAAAGCCCATTCAAAAAAAGTACCATTGGCAATTTCACAGCTCCAGTCGTTTTAATAGGCATAGACTTGTCATTGCAAAAGTGCATGATGAGATTGGAACATCCAGCTGAGCAATGTCAAGTCACAGCTACGATTGTGGAAGACTGAGGCACCCTCAGTGTAGGAAGGAGCGCTACCGCAAGGCCTTTATCCCCACCGCTGTCAGACTGTACAATAAGTCACTTTAAATGATCACTGTGTGAAAACCTGCACTACTATTGACACTGTTTCCAATTGACACTTTTTGTTGTACATAATTATTGTCACTTTATTGTACATATATCCTGCATGTAACATGTTTGCACATTTCCTCCCTTTGCACAATCTGAGTGTCTCTATCCATGCCAAATGTGACATGTAAATTTCTCCTCTGTGAGATAAATAAAGCAATCTTATCTTGTGCCAGGGTTTATGGATGGTTGTTAGGGTGGTAGCACGCTGTGTACTCTTGTTCTTCTTGAGAACCATATGGGGAAAACACTGATTGATATACAAAGTACTGGTAGAATTATAACTTATGTCAAGATCATGAGGAATACTTATTACACACAGATTTTTGGTGTGCAATGTTGCATGCTTTTTACTTCTCATACGGCATGTGTACCACAACAACCGCATTTTATACAATATCACTGTTGCCTCTATTTAAAGTCAGAAGAAAACCTTTGGTAACTCGAGTGCACTGCTGTAACTAGTTCAGAGGTCCTGTGAGGGTCTTCCCGTAGCCCGCACTCCTGCTCCAGCAGCTGTATTTTACAGCACATGCATGGCTTTTGACAGCTGCAGCAGTGCTCAGGCCTACAAAGAACTGAATATTTCCACAATCATACTCAGCAGTCGAGAGTTCATGTGGTGGTTACTAAGTAACAGACCACAGTATGCAAACATGGAAGAAATGTAACTTTGGTTCAAGTGTCAATTATGATCAGAAAACAAGTGGAATGAAGTGTACAACACATAGTGCACAATAATAATGCTATTTTGTTTTAAATGTTAATTGTAATGGGCTAGGCTGAAATTACCAGATTATGTAATGTAATTTTCGATTTAGTGTTGAACATGAGCCATTTTATACCAGTTAAAAGCAACTTGTTTTGGTAAATCAGTTAAATAATTCAAAAATTCAAAATTTACCAAAACAAAGCAAGAAATCAATTGTCTTAACAAACAAATACAAGAAAACAAAACATGAAAAATAAGTTTCTTTTTTATTTTTCTCAAGTCTGTTCCAAATACCCTCAAAAATTTTTTTGCTGTAATGATTTGGATCTGGACTGGTTGTGAATAATTTTGCCTTTTACAGTATGGTACACAATCATGAAGAGCTCTGTATTTCAACTGCACCATTGCTGCTGCACACATTCACTCTCAAGGACGCATGGAAAACAAACTGTAATGTAAAAATATGACTCAATCTACTCACAGTGCATTATTTATGTCCGGAAATGTTAACTATGATAATTACAGCCGGTGTTACAGAGTGAAAGTGTTGTGGGTTGAGGTGAGCTAGGCTTTATGGTACTTAAAGGGCATGTACATTAGCCTGATTGAAGGCCGCAGACACCGTGTTATTCTCCAGCTAACGGCAGCAATTACGACAAGTTATAGCAGTGGTAACTTCAAGAAGTAGTTTATTTTTACATCTGGAAGGTCGCCGGTGAGGTAGGACAAAGATTATTTAGCTTAAGTATGAAGACATTTTAACAATTTTTACTTAATGGGCGGATCTAACACACATCACAGCCAACAATTGTGAGGCATGAAGACATATTATGCTAAATTAATTTTATCTCGACTTAAACATTGTTCCAAAGTGCCAAACTTAAATTTGTGTCCTTAAAGACCTAATGCCGGGTTTAAAAAAAAAAAATTGTGGATATCAAAATTGCATGACAATGTCGATCTGAAATAGATTCCGGCAAAAAAAATCCTATATTTTATAAAAAGAACGTGTTTTTCATGAAGTTAAGTTGTCTATGCTCTAACCTGTGTGTGACGTCATAGCGGGTAACGCCCATGCATTGAAAACCACTGATCTATGCCACAGGACTGCCTTTTCTCTCTTCTCTCCACTGATGCCCAACACAATACTGCACTCTACAGGTGACAATTGCTCACTACACATAAATTGCCGTTTTGAGAGTGAAAATGTGTCTGAGGTGGCATTTGAACCCCAGTATCTGGATTGGCAGTCCATCGACACAACCACTGGACTATCTCAGTGCCAACGATGGATCACAGTCTAGTAGTAATTTCATACTCGCTGTACACGACCTTGTCATCTTGAATATCCGCGAAAAAAAGAACAAATACCAAATTGTAAACAACTTACAGCGTTGAAACGTACCCGCTCTGACGTCACCAAGGGCTGTGAAGTTTTTTCGTCTCTAAGGGCGTTGCTATGGGGTTATTTCGATTTGGGGGGATCAGACAAAAAAAACAACAACTGATTTTGAAACCTTTAGTAGTTCTCTTCTAATATAAAATGGTATTAAAACTGTATTTCTAAATAAATCAAACCCGACATAAGGTCTTTAAGGCAAAAGACTTCCACCACATTGCCTGGTATGAGTTTGGTGTGTGTCTGTAAAGGATTAGGGGTGATTGTACTGTGATTGAAAGTTACAATATGTGTGCTAATTTTGTCTTCTGTTCCCTTTAATACATTAAAAGGGAACAACAAGCCACCCCAGTCCTGTTTTGTATTTTTCATCTCAAAGTACAATCTCAGAAAGAAACAGCAGGTCTCTGATCAGTAAGGGGATGTAAATTAAATTGAAAATTTCTTACCGATGGCATCTCCTTGTTCATGTACCATACTGGCCAGGTCCTTCATAATTTGATTGACGTCCAGCATGTCCCTCTGTGGAGACAGAAAATAAAAAGTTAGAGTTAGAGTTAGTAATGGAACATTTGAATGGACATTTTGAAGCACAATAATTATATTTGAAGTGCTGCATGAATGTGTCAGACCTGAAATGACAATACAAAGTCCAATAATGTGAAATGATGGTTGGACAATCTATGTTGGGTCACAAAGGTAAAAAATATAAACAATCCATGTCTGAGTCTGTGTTGAACATATTGCTCCGATTAGGAGCAGAGAAATCAGAATCTCATTTGGAGCTTTTTTCAAAATGAGATTTGTATCGTTGCTGCACAGATATTTGAGTTTGGACGGCTGCCGACCAAATTGGATTCCAGAGATCACGTTGTGCCTTTGCGAATGTGGCGCTGGACAAAAACATTTGATTTTGACTGACAGTAGATCAGGGAAGGAGAATAGACAGTAATGCAGAGAGGGCAGCGCTGAGGGAAGTCAAATGTCATCAATCGCAACTCAAAAATATTATATCTTGAAATAAAATGTCTTGATTTTAGTACATATTGTAATTTTCAAAACAACAATGGCCTAATGTCTTCTGCTTCAAGAGATAAGAAAACTTTCTAGTAAAAACACAAATGTTTCTTTCAAAGACAGTCAACATTTACTTGAATCCAGTAAATTATTAAATTACTACCTTATACTTTAATCAACAATGTAATATGCATAAACTAAGTAAATGTCACACAGTAACTACTCTGGCACACTATTATTTCACAAACAGTGTACTTGATTTACTATCGCAGTTTCGCCAACACAAAGAAACGACTCATAATTCCAAAGCCCTGCATAACCACAAAAACTCCAAGCTTTACATAACCTCACTGAAATGCTGCTCACATCCACCTCGCTTTATGCAACTTCAATCGACAAACTTGGCCGTCTGAGCTCTGAGTTAAAGGGGAAAATCCGTTTAAATATTTTGTGCAATTATTTCAGAGGGGCCACAGAGCAAACGCGCAAGGCTATGCTTGACCGCAGCTAATTCTCCTCTGCGCCGGTGCTTTGAATCGGCTCCGCTGCGTTTCCGCTCACAGCCAAATAAAAGCTCAGAAAAGCAGACTATCTGGTGAATGCAGGTCGTTCTAACATAATGAAGCCATGCAATCGCCCTGTAAATGTATGCGTTAGACAAAGACAGCAAGAGCTTAATAAGGACTAATCTTGGATGAGACTATCCATGGGTTTCTGTTGGAACCATTGTTATAAAATGTTACAGTTTAAAACTAAAATGTTGAAATTGAATGAAAATGAAAAGTCTGGGGAAAAAATGCCTGTTGCAACCATAGACTGTAAATATTAACGGACGTAGTCACGCCTATCTCCGCCGTTCTAACAAATGTGCCACAACTTCGGCGGTCTATGGGCAGTTTCAAAATGGCTACGGAGGCTGGAAAATGTGCAAAAACGCATCTGCGCATGCGTCAGCCGGCACGAGCCCCATTCATTTAACGAGTGACTTCAAAAGTAAACAAGACTGGTCCAAAAAAAATATCACTCCCCTCAGCATTGACACACGTGGAACGGAGCTTTGGGCCTAGAGCCGACTTTTGGACCATCCTGTAAAGACGTTTTCGAGAGGTAAGAAGAAGCTATATGTTAGCATTGGCTAATTCTTATTCCGGGTCCACCCCCATTGGCCCGGGGTGGTATTGCAAGCATGTCAGCGCACTTCATTTTGGCCACTTTTGAGCCGGGAGCCGCCCCCACCGGTTGCAACCCATGACAGACATACAGGTGAAACTCTAAAAATTAGAAGATTGTTCAAAAGTCCAATTGTTTCTGTAATCCAACGGTGAAACTAGATGACAGACTAATACACGCAAGCAAGATTTATCAAGCATTTTGTTTGTAATAATTTGGATAATTATGGCTCACAGCTGGTAAAAAAACAAAGAAAACAAACACATGGACTGTAATTATAATCATCAAAATTATAACAAACAAAGGCACTGATCTGTCACTGAGCTTGCAATAGGTCTATGATATTTTGGTTTTGTATTTTAAGCTGAATTACAGAACTTTTGAACATGAATGTATCTATCTATGTACAGGGCCATGCAGGAATAAATCAAATTCAAAAATTTTGACAAAGCGGTTTTAATTGATTTTCTGTATGTTAATTGTCATCTTGTGATTTTAGGCTGAAAACAATAAAACTAACTTCATTGTCAGATAAACATTAATCTAACAATGAAGTTTAGTCAATATGACAACACCTGCCGTTACAGCTTTATAATACCAGAGAGCCACCCAAACAAAGTCTGAACCAAAGCTAAATCATAGGGCAAATGAAGCTTGAAAGAGGGATCAACAAAGTCTGAACCAAGACCAAATCAAGTCAAGATGATGGACCTTGGTATTTTCACATTTCTTTGTACATCCCTTCGCTCCAACAGCAGACCGTGAGCCGCTGCCTTTCCCGCTGGGTCATCCATCACAGGTGGCGCCCATTGCCGTGGAAACTGGCAGCCGGCCTGGCACTTGGCAAAGCACACGTTTGAATGGAGCCAAAATGGCCGTTGGCACAAAGCTCCCGCCATGCTAAAGACTTTCTGAATTCATCGGTGGGCAGCCCCGTCGATCAAGTCGTAATGGAATAACACATTTATTTTACCTGCAAAAGCACAAGGCGAAAGTGGAGTCATTTTAACATAATGAGAGAGCAGCGTGAAGCCAGTTTTAGAGCAAGGCTGGAGTGGACGGGACAGAGAAGAGATGTGAAGATCTCGCAGCATCATGGGACGACCAGCTGCAGGCCAAAACTGCCCTTTTTAGACTTTTCATCTGAATGGATTTGGATTCTGCTCATGCCCCAATGCAGAGCTACAATGGTACACTCAAGTTTGATGATGTCATACTCTCACATGAGGGAAGGGACGAGGGAAAGAGAACGTTTCAACAGGAAATCTAATGTTGAAGCTTATTTTTCTAACCCTTATAAAAGCTTTTCAAGGGAAACCCACAGTTGTCCATGAACTTTACTGCACACAGTGATTGTGTAATTTTGGCAATTGAACATGATAAGGGAACTATCTACTTTGCCATTTCCTGTCTTACAAAGCAGAAATTATTAAACTCAAGTGTACTGTAGGGAAAAAACGTGCTACCCCTATGCTGCAACCACCATGGCAAGGCAAGGCAAGGCAAGTTTATTTATATAGCACAATTCATACACAAGGCAATTCAAAGTGCTGAACAAAACAAGAAAGCATTAAAATCATGAATTATCACAGAACATTAAAAAGAAAGATAAAAATATAAAATCCCTCAGTTGTATGCACAGTTAAACAGAACTGTCTTTAACCTGGTTTTAAACATTGTCAGAGAGGAGGCCTGTCTCACATCTTCAGGAAGACTGTTCCAGATTTTAGCAGCATGAATCTGAAAAGCAGCCTCCCCAATTTTAGTTCTGACTCTGGGCACTAACAGGAGTCCAGTCCCTGTGCTCCTCAGAGTCCGGGCTGGTTCATATGGGACTAACATGTCACTAATATATTTTGGTGCGAGGCCATGGAGAGACTTGTACACAAGCAGAGCTGTTTTAAAGTCTATTCTCTGAGCCACAGGAAGCCAGTGCAGAGACCTGAGAACTGGACTAATGTGGTCGTACTTCCTGGTTCTAGTCAGGACTCGAGCTGCTGCATTTTGAATGTACTGCAGCTGTTTTACAGCCTGTTTGGACAGACCTGTGAGCAGGCCATTGCAGTAGTCTAACCTACTGGAGACAAATGCATGGATAAGAATCTCCAGGTCTGCTTTAGACACTATGTTTTTGATCCTGGCAATGTTTTTTAGATGGTAAAAAGCTGCTGATGTTACTGATTTGATGTGGCTATTAAAATTTAAGTCTGAGTCCAGTATTACCCCTAGATTTCTGACCTTGTTTGAAGGTTTTAGGGAGAGAGAGACTGTAGGTGACAGATGACGCTCTCTCTTTGTTTCTGGGGACCAAAGACAATCATTTCAGTTTTGTCTGCGTTTAGCTGAAGGAAGTTGTTTTGCATCCACTCACTGATCTGTTGGATACAGTGAAGGAGTGAGTCCACTGGTCCATGTTCTCCTGCAGTCAGTGAGACATAGATCTGAGTGTCGTCTGCATAGTTATGATAGGAAACTTCGTTTCTGCGTATTAACTGACCTAACGGCAGCATGTAGAGATTGAACAGAAGAGGTCCCAGGATCGACCCCTGTGGGACTCCACAGGTCAGGGCCATATGATCTGAGACACAGTTTCCAATCTCCACAAAGTACTTCCTGTCTTCAAGGTAAGACCTAAACCAACTTAGGGCGGTGCCAGTGACGCCAACCCAGTCCTCTAGTCTCTGTAAGAGGATCTCATGGTCGACGGTGTCAAAGGCAGCACTTAGATCTAACAAGATTAAGATTGAGACTTTGCCTGCGTCAGTGTTCACCCGGATATCGTTTGTAACCTTAACGAGAGCAGTCTCAGTGCTGTGGTGGGGTCTAAAGCCGGACTGAAACATATCAAATGAGTTGTTGATTATAAGAAATCTAGTAAGCTGTAGGTAGACAACTTTCTCAAGGACTTAAATAATCTCCCCATAAATGGCAGATTTGAGATGGGACGATAGTTGTTAAGTACCGTAGCATCGAGACTGCTCTTTTTTAGCAGGGGCATGATGACTGCCGTTTTCAGGGCCTTTGGGAATATTCCAGAATGAAGGGACATGTTTACTATCTGTGTGAGTGAAGGTAACAGACTGCTCAGAACAGACTTCAGAAATCTAGTGGGTAGTACATCCAAGCTGCATGTGGAGGAGCTCAAACTGGAGATTATCTCTTGGACAGTTTTATCATTTACAGGTGCAAAGTGAGTTAGCTCAGAGAGCCTTTCTGGCTGTTGGATTGTTATCTGTGGATTGGAGACAATGGCGTTTTTGATGCCTTGAACCTTGTCATTGAAAAAATTAGCAAACTCATTGCATTTACGTTTGGAAGTAAGCTCTAATGGCATT